CTTTTCCTTTTTTTAAAGGAAGGAGTGTGGGGGGGTGTTTTCTGCTCTGTTTACCAATGCACACAGAGGTTCACAGCTCCCAAGCACTGCAGAAATTAGGATGTTTTTCCAGCCTACCCTGAAATGAGCAGCTGTTAAGATCTCTTGTATAAAGCACAATAGTAAGGGCAGCCCTTGCTGGCTGAGGAGGCACAGAGTGTGCATCATGGCTGCTCAAGCAGCAAACAATTCACAGGGTTAGGGTCCCTATTCCCTGCCATCCTGCTCCCAGCTCCGCAAACGCAGCTCGCTCGCGCCCTTGAAGCCAGGCTGAGCTCACACCTTTTACTGGACAGCACGAACAAAAACGTACAGCGCATACTGAGCGGAAACAATAGCCAGCCACACAGAGCCCAATATCAAAGGCACTGATAGTCATCCGAGTTTCCAGGAGATACGCGCAGTCAATTGGCCCTTTCCTGCTTATTTATTTATTTTTTTTTTAATAAACACCAGCTGTATACAAAATGTGAAGTGAAAGCCTGAGAGCAGACGTGCGCTGAGTCTCATTTGGTCCTGCTTTGCCATTTAGCACAGAAAAGCTGAAACACCTTCTTGAGGCTGGATTTTACTTTAGGTTAAAACAAAGCCCAGACACTCTCCCCTAAAGCACATCTGCATCACCAGATTCAACAGGACTTGCAAATACACCCCTAACCTACTGCCCTAGTGGGGTTTAAAGCCATTTTCTGTAGCTAACAAGTCCAGATCTGCACGCACAAAGTTATTACCTTCTGACAGTCGGTTGGTAATACATAACACGAATGGCGAGAGGATTGGGGAGGAGAAAAATGTTTCAGTGCGGTTCCTGTTGGAACAGGTACCTGCGTTACACAAGCAGCGATCACCCCCGATAGCCACAGAGAGATGGACTGCGTGGCAAAGCCTCGGACGCTGGAGAGGCCATTGCCACCAGCCCGTCCTCTGTCCCTGCCAGGAGGTGCTCCGAGATGCTTCGGGCCCATCCAGCTCTGGGGAAAAGGGCTAATCTCTTTAAAAGCATGGCGCTGATAACCTCTTGCTCTTCCCCCAGGAAGCAGCAGCAGTTGCACCCCCCCAGATAAAGAAAAAGGATCACCACAGAACAAACAACCGAAACAAAGAGTTTTCCCTCACTCATCTCCCTCCAAACAAATATTTACAGTTGTTACAATCCAGAGGCACAGGGTTTTAGAAACGTTTCTTAAAAACAACAAAAAACAAACAACAAACCCACAGATTTGAAGAGCACACACACTGCAATCTCTGGTGCATGGGGGGCTGCCGGGGCCCCCCCTCGGCCAGGTCAACAGGCCGATGGGAAGAGGCCACAAGCTCCCGAGGTCTGATCGAGGCTCAGCAACAACATGGTGGCACTTCCCACGCCGGGGCTGATCTGCCTTCCCAGCGCCTGCCCCACGCCGAGCCCCTGCCTCCTGGGGCTGCGAAACACCGCCAGCGACCCACGCGTCCAGGACCCCAACACACACAGACACCCCCCCCCCAGTTCTTCCTCACTCCGAGAAAAGCCCATAAATTTCTGGTTCCTTCGTTATCTCTGAAGACAGGCTGGAAGACTCCCAGTTCTCTTCCCAGCCAAAGCCAAGTCGAGCGTGTGCCTCCTCGGAGCATCCCCTTGCACC